ATTAAAAAGAGCTCATCAGGTTGAAATGCTTCTCTTGTCTTCCTTCTAACATGAGACTCATGCTTCTACTACTTAATGAGCGCCAATGATTATGAGTACATGCTTGAAGTGATTCATTAATTCATCACATTATCACACGAGTGGGCTGCTGTGTAAAAAATATCTGTGTAATTGGAGACTACCTCTTTGTGTATGTATGATAAATGCCAATTAAATGTAAGTTAATTAAAAAGGGGTCATTCAGATGAGCGTGTCATGTAAATGACATTTTAATGATTGTCAATCATAGGCTCCGTTCACCTGAGGGAGGCACTTCACCAAACCACTAATCATGTGCTTCATGGGCAAATTTCATGAACTGTTCAGCACAAGGTAAGAGAAAGACTTTGTCTATAAAATCACTGACAATGAAAATGATGGAAAAGTATTAAAAATAATGATTTTTTTATGTTTTTTTTTTTTTATGCTACTTTTCATGTTTCTAGGGGAATTCAGAATTGGCAGTAACTCTGCTTTGCAAATCAACAAAACATTTTCACATAAAAGGAGGATCCAAAAGTCTAAGTTTAATACAAAATGTTTAATTAATGTGAATATAAGGGCTGTTGGTTTAACTAATTAATTTAATAAATTATGAAAGAGAACACAAGGTAACACAAATACAATAATTATAACTGGATAAAAGCTATTGACAATAGATGTTTTTTTTTTAAGCAGGGACTTTTGTTGGTAAAATTGGTAAAGAGGATGCAGTTATAACATAAATTGGTGATTTGTTCCATAGACTAGGACCAGCAACAGTGAAGGCTCTATTACCTCTGCAGTGGAATCTCTTTCTAGGAACAGAGAGGGTGTGACTGCCTCCGTACGATTTTCGGATGAACTCAATCGTGACATGTGCCAGAGCTCACGACGTTCCGACCTTCAGAATCGCACCATGTACGCCCGCCTTAAGATTACTAGATCTTAGGGACCTATTTGGTTTGTAAATGGTGAATGCCTCTGAAAGATATGATGGTGCTTGGTTATGTAGAAATCTAAAAACAAAAGTTAAAATTTTACAAACAATTCTAAATTTGATTGGTAGCCAGTTTAGCGAAATAAGGATGGGAGTGATGTGATCGAACCTCTGTCTGCCTGTCAACATCCTTGCAGCAACGCTTTGAACCAACTGTAGGCGCATTAAAGAGGACTGGCTTATACCATGATATAGGGAATTACAGTAGTCTAGATGAGATAAAATGAACAAGTGAATAATCAGTTCAAACTGTTTTACAGAGAGTAGAGATTTGATTTTCGATAAACGCCGTAAGTGGGAAAAACTTGATTTGACCACTGCACTAATTTGCTTTTCAAAAACAAAAAGAACACCGAGATTTTTGGCACAAGGTGTAATATAAGAAGAGATATGGCTGGAGTGACAGTCCTCATGTGACTTTAAACGAAACAAAATGATTATTTATCTATTTGCGGAGTTTATATATACATACTTACCTTTTCTTTTACTGTTTATTTTGGTCAACTCTACTTGTCCCAACCAGGATCTAAACATGGTTTGTATTCATATACTATAGTCTTAGCTTACTTAATGTTGTGTGATGAACATCTGTCCATGTATGTACTTCTAGTCTTTCTCCTTGTTAAAACAACAGCAGTATTTCATTATTAATCGATCCATTGGGCTGCTAATTACATCCACCTCTGCAAAATTAATGCACTCATGCATCTCATCACCTATCTATTGAGAATTTCAATTATTTAAAACTTAAAAGCATTGCTTCCGAGACATGAATTAGATATGTCTAGCCCAGGGGCAGGCAAGTTCGGTATTTATGCCACTGTAGCTTGGACTGACAGCTCCAGTCCATCAGGGTAGGTTAGGCTAGAGCCTTTTATCAGGGCAATCCCTTGAGCCTTTGGCTTTGGGGCGAACAGAAAACAGAAAAGGGAAGCAGTCACATCCAGTTCAGCACCTTCAGCAGGGCTGGACAACTTCGGTCATGGAGGGCCACTGTCCTGCAGAGTTAAGCTCCAACCCTAATCAAACACACCTGAACAAGCTAATCAATGTCTTCAGGATTACTAAGGGTATAGGCAGGTGAGTTTTTTTTCAGGGTTGGAGCTGAACTCTGCAGGACTGCGGCTCTCTAGGACCGAACTTGCCTACCCCTGGTCTAGACTATACTTTGTTTTGAAGGCCAGTCTGTCCAAAAATAAATAAATAAATAGATACTGAAAATCAAACATATTTCAGATCATTGAGCGGTTCTTAGCACTTCCATGTAAACTTAAATCAAAAATAAATTAACTAATTATTATTATTATTATTAATAATAATAATAATCATAATAAGAAATATCTAAACACCCTCAATACTGTGGGTATCAACATTGCTATCATATTGTAACATTTTAGGGCAAATGTTACTCATTTAAATGTTACTTATGTTACACATAAAGCAGCTCATATAGGACAAATTACGGTCTATTTTTCTTGAAAGGTTTTTATATAAATAAGCCAGCGTGTCATCACACATAAACTGATGCACCGTCTCAGCTGTCTCAATTTATCTTTTTATGTCTGAAGATTTGTCTGAGGCCAAGTTATTTGCATAAATACATTGCATAGGATAAGACACAATCGCATTCATGCCTGCATGGTTCACATTTGGAAAGCTGAACTATGGACCGAAAAAAAACATGCTCCAGTCCGAATATAGTCCGCTGACTGAAATTTGCACAGAAAGCTCACTGATATATAATGCAGCACAGCGATTTCATCTAAATCAATCGAAGGGTTTCATAAAAATTATTGACTGCTTAGATTCAGCCTACAGCCTACTAGTTGATGAGCTCTGCTCTATAGTCTATATAGACTGCTATAGATCTTTCTGTGGAAATGCACATAGCTGACAGAGAGGAATTTTTAATCAGTAAAGTTTCTCCTTCGCTGGCACGTCCCAAAAGTCAGTGGGTCAGCCTTGTCACCAAATACAGCCTTCAGAGATTCTGATGGACAGATGTGGCCCACCAGAGCGCAAACTAACTACATCTGACCCTTTGATTGTCAGCAGGGCTCGGGTAGCCAACACACTCGCTTTGTTTATGGAGGTGATGGGGTGAGACGGAGGCACACATGGCTCCTGTGGACCTACTTTTCGATTACCTATCAGATGGCGAAAACTAATCCTGCTCTTGCTGCTTAACTTCTTCTGAGCCATTGATCCACCTATCAGAGAAGATTTAGTGTGTGCCATTAACAAACCGCAGAAGACATCTGACTGTTCAAAAAGTTGGAGACCCAAATCTGAGACCGTGGCGCCGAGCCCAATGGAGACCAAATGTCACCTCAATAGGGACAAAGCTGGGTGGCAATGTGTAATCTAAACGCACAGCTAATGGAAAAGTGAAAGCCATTGACAGTTGCAAACTGAAACGATTCCAATCGCTTCTTTTCACCTGCTCCTTCAGCAAGAGTGATTTTTATGACTGGTGAAGAAGGTTGAAGATTGCAGCTGCATAAGTGGGAGACCATGCAAGTGACTCATCAATGTTAGTGTCTGTGAAATATAAACTGTAGAAGAGAGCCAATGAAAGAGACATGTCAGTGGGTTAAATTATGAAACCGTCTTTATTTTAAACTCATGGTTCTAATGACCCATTCCATAGCAACCAGGATCGAAACTGTTCAAAAGAATCAGTGAAGATGTTTTTCATTCAGACATGGAATGCTTGGCGTTCTATACATTTCTGCTTCCCGGAGGAGTGTAAAAGGATGTTATTCCAGCTAAAGAACATGGCTTTAGAAAGGACAACAAAGATAGAAGATTGAACTCACGGCTATGGTTGGGGAAGAGCATGTTGAATAGACATGTCATTGCAAAGGTTTTGCAAATGGGTCTTTCAAATCATAAATTCTTTGCATATGCCATTAGAATTAGAATTTTAATGTTTTCACCTACAGTAATTTGAGTCACAGAAATGCAGTCCACAAATAATCAAATTATTCTGTTCTCCAACATGTTTATCTTCATAAAAACATCCACGCCCACACGGTTATCCTTATAGCTATAAATTATTTTCAGTGAATACACAAAATTTCCACTATAGGTAAAAAAACTAGAAGAACATGAGAGTGCAGTAAAACATAAAATTTTTTTGCAACATCAAGAAGCATAACAGAGTGTTTTTGTACGGCTAAATAACTGAAAGGAGACAACACCGAAGCCTCTTGTAATCATGATACAAATGGCGGGCCTGCTGAATTCATGCATCTGAATGGTTGACAAATTTTTTAATGTGTGACAGTCAGGGTTGACAGTGGGTGGGGGGGCAGATGCCCTCCCATATCGGTAGTCATGGAATCCCCAATGTCAGCCCCACTGAAATATGGAGCGGTTAGCCAAGTTCAGGCCCGGTTCTACGAGGGTGCTAAACACCCTCAAACAAAAGCAAAAGCACCCTCAATTGATCTGGCAAACGATCCATTGCGTATTTGTGTTTGCGCTCTGGACAATTCAAAAGTTACTATTTACAACGTGTTGTTGCAGCGTTAAGTAATGTAGCCAATCACAGGCATATCTGTTGCTTTCTTGAATGCAACGGCCAATCAGAAAAGTTGTAGTTGGTCAGAATTCACTCACCACTAAAAACGATCAGTGCTGTTCTACACGCTCATGAATTGTCTCATAACAACCTAAGCACAGATGCAATGTAAATAAGAGATTCATTGTGCCGTTTTGAGAGCTTCACTAATTATAACATAACTGATTATAACAGACCAAATGTGCAAACTATTGAGATCTGGCCATATCAACCAGTAATTTCCTTTCCAGCAGTTATGACTGGCTTGAATATAGTCCCTTGATAGTTTTTTTTTTTTTTGACGTCACACTCTGCAGCGTCTTTTTAAAGGGGTCGTATGAAGCAATTTCAAATTTTCCTTTCTCTTTGGAGTGCTACAAGCTGTTCGTACATAGATAAGATCCCTAAAGGGTGCAACCCAGTGATGATTGATGCCAAGGAGGTGTCTGCTGCCCACAGAGCTCGCTACTTTTGGGGTAACCTGCCTGGCATGTACAGGTTAGTTAGACGTGAACTCTTCATTAATTTCATTATTTAATCTCTCACTTTATCATTTTATCACTTTATTTCCTTCTCCTGTCAGACCATTGGCCACCATGTGCACTGATAAACTGGACCTTCAAGACTGTTTGGAGCATGGCAGGACAGCTAAGGTGCTTCTTGGACCAACCCTCGATTGATTTCTGGATAAAGCTTTGTAAAGCAACACAAATAGCAGTTCTTTTTCGCATCTTTTACAGTTTGATAAAGTGCGGACCATCACCACTCGGTCTAATTCTATAAAGCAAGGCAAAGACCAGCACTTCCCTGTCTTCATGAATGACAAAGAGGACATCCTGTGGTGCACTGAGATGGAGAGGTATGACGAAATGCCTTTTAAAAAGTTCTAAGGTATAAGCCCAAATGTTAATGTGAAATGTCACACTGACATTTATTCAACAGAGAGATCCTGAGGACCTGCTGCAGTGAACAGTGAGTTTTATCTCATATTGATTGAATCATCAGTCATCTACTGGCTGACTAAAACCATATCTTACTCAGTAGAACAGAATATGACTACATATCAATACAATGAGACATGTCTTATGTAATCCATTGATATGCATTGATATAAACATTTATATACACCATGAAATGGCTTGACAAACACAATTTTCTTCCTGTTTTGATATATTTTAACATGGCTTAATTATATCTCTGTTTATATTTATACCTGGTATTAAAATCCTTTTTGGAGATTTAACCATAAGTGGTCAGTTAAGACAGAAAAAGCAAGTCGACACGTGGCTTCATTTACTTTAAAGGGGTCATATGATGCGATTTCAATTTTTCCTTTCTCTTTGGAGTGTTACAAGCTCTTGGTGCATAAAGAAGGTCTGTAAAGTTGCAAAGACTAAAGTCTCAAATCCAAAGAGATATTCTTTATAAAAGTTAAGACTTGTCCACACCCTCATAAAACGCCTCGTTTAAACACGCCCCCACATGTCTATGTCACTGTGTGGGAAGATTTGCATAACGCCGCCCAAATGTTCACGCAAAGAAAGAAGGCGTAATTTTTATTCTCTCTGTAGTATTGTTGTTGCCACCATGTCGTGGAGACGCTGTGCGTTTCGTTGTGAAAGCGAAACTACTTTGTTTGGCCTTCCAAACGAAGACGATATCCGCTTCGTCATGCCTAGAGCTGATCTAGACTACAATGCCGGCTGTTCTGACTCACAGACTGTAAGTTCGTTTTTATATTTAAAGAATTTGTCACTGACGATTCAAACGCGAGTTTTGAGCAGTGTAGAGTAGGGCTTGTTGTTTGTCATTTCTCCGTTCACAAATGCAGACATGGTTTTATGTTTACGCGGCGCGATACGCAACGCAACGCGTATAAAGACAGTATAAGTCATTATAATCCGTAATTATGTCCCCACTGGATGCAACAAATGCCTCATTTGTAATGGGTTTTATTGGTGTTGTCTCATCGCGCCGGGACACAGCATCACAGTTTGATAAGGGGCGTAACATTTCCGTCACACGCTTGAGGTATTCAGCAAATCACAACGCACTGGATAGCTGGCCAATCAACGTACACCTCGCTTTTCAGAACAATGAGCTTTGTAAAAATCGACGCGTTTTAGAAAGGCAGGGCATAGAGGAGAAACAATAATGTACAGTACGTTATGTGAAAAATGTGTTTTTTTTAACCTTAAACCGCATAAACACATTGCATTACACCAAATACACAACATAATGTTCTTTTTAGCAACGTCATATGACCCCTTAAAAAAAAAAAAAAAACTTCAACACATGCTAAATAATGATAAATTAAAACTGTAAAAACATACTCTACTTTACTGCAGCACTGCAGTTTTAAATGTATGTTATTTTAGTTCAACTACGAGATCATGCCGTGACGTGTCAATCTTCTATAGAATGGGGGAACTATGACGTCAGAACACGGAAGTGTAATTCGCCGCAGGTTCCTTTGAGATTTTCCTATGGGGTTTTATAATGGAGTTTTTCAATTTGGTAAAATAAAGCCTGTGGTAAATATAACTTGACGATACTTTTACGTTTTGTTCTACAATGTAAATTGCACACACTCACAGCCCAAACGTTCTTATCTAGTTACTTTTTAAAAACATACATTTTCAAAAATGACATTTTGGGTATGGATGTGTGTACTTTACGTTGCAGAACAAAACGCCAAAGTATTGTCAAGTTATGTTTACCTCAGGCTTTATTTTACTAATAAATTGAAAAACCCCATTATAAAACCCCTTAGGAAAATCTCGAAGGAATCCGCGGTGAAGTACTCTTCCAGATTCTGACGTCATAGTTCCCCCTCTCTATTGGTCACACAGTTTTACATAATACAAATACACAGGTCAGAGTTCACTAAACTTGAATTTTGGAATGCAGCAAAATGCGAAACTTCTTCGCATGAGCTTGCATTTCCACTCTCCCGCATGTGTGTGAATGGAATGAAAAGTGTAGTGTGACTGATGCTTAACCACATGAATTTTCAAAGGCAAAATCCAGTAATTTCAGTAGAAATCCACGTGATTGGGAGTTACGTGTCAGGTTCAAATTGGTGATGCGTTTTTCATGATTTCTCAAAAAACAACAACATTGTGACAGCACCTTTAAGGTTTTAAATAACAAATATCTTTTAAATAAAACTAATGAACAATGTCTTGAGATGTGGCAACCATGAACACACCATTTTATTTTATTGAAAAAGTAATGCACATCTGACGTTGTAATTCAACAGCCCTGCATCAGTTATTCCTTACTTTTTTTACTTTTTTACTTATTTTTTTTTAACGAATGTTGACTTGAATCATGGCTTTTCAAAAACACATCAACTGTTCTATCCTGACAACTTTCGAAAAGCAGCATATTTTAATTCAATTGCTTTGAGGCTGCAATCCAGAAAATCGAGTTTAGCACCCACCTAAAAATATTGTCGTGAAAAAGGAGCAAACAAAGGAAAGAGCTATATATATAAAAAAAAAAATTTAAAAAAAATGAGAAAACATGTTGTGGCCTTTATCATGTTTGCTTACCAACACATGGGGAATACAGTCTGCTGGCCCTGAACCTGGTGAGGTTTTAAAAGACCGGTGATGAGGTAATGCTCAATCTGAGGAAAAATCATAATGATGTATAGCTGTTACTGATGATTCAGTTTCAAAGGTGATAAAACTTAACAGTGCATTTATTTTAAAAACCTTGCAGATGCCTTTGACCAAGCTATATCTTGGTGCAAGCCATTTTATTGAGTTTGTGGGTCGAACAGCTCGAAGGTATAAGCTTTTCCAGAATGTTCTCTACCTCTATGGGCTGATGTAACAGCCAAATCACTTTATTTTTATAAAGATGAAGTGCTGTTGCAATTCCCACATAACCGAGGGAATTGGTTCTGAGTCAGATCCTCTCATAGTTTTTTAACCTTAAACCGCATAAACACATTGCATTACACCAAATACACAACATAATGTTCTTTTTAGCAACGTCATATGACCCCTTAAAAAAAAAAAAAAAACTTCAACACATGCTAAATAATGATAAATTAAAACTGTAAAAACATACTCTACTTTACTGCAGCACTGCAGTTTTAAATGTATGTTATTTTAGTTCAACTACGAGATCATGCCGTGACGTGTCAATCTTCTATAGAATGGGGGAACTATGACGTCAGAACACGGAAGTGTAATTCGCCGCAGGTTCCTTTGAGATTTTCCTATGGGGTTTTATAATGGAGTTTTTCAATTTGGTAAAATAAAGCCTGTGGTAAATATAACTTGACGATACTTTTACGTTTTGTTCTACAATGTAAATTGCACACACTCACAGCCCAAACGTTCTTATCTAGTTACTTTTTAAAAACATACATTTTCAAAAATGACATTTTGGGTATGGATGTGTGTACTTTACGTTGCAGAACAAAACGCCAAAGTATTGTCAAGTTATGTTTACCTCAGGCTTTATTTTACTAATAAATTGAAAAACCCCATTATAAAACCCCTTAGGAAAATCTCGAAGGAATCCGCGGTGAAGTACTCTTCCAGATTCTGACGTCATAGTTCCCCCTCTCTATTGGTCACACAGTTTTACATAATACAAATACACAGGTCAGAGTTCACTAAACTTGAATTTTGGAATGCAGCAAAATGCGAAACTTCTTCGCATGAGCTTGCATTTCCACTCTCCCGCATGTGTGTGAATGGAATGAAAAGTGTAGTGTGACTGATGCTTAACCACATGAATTTTCAAAGGCAAAATCCAGTAATTTCAGTAGAAATCCACGTGATTGGGAGTTACGTGTCAGGTTCAAATTGGTGATGCGTTTTTCATGATTTCTCAAAAAACAACAACATTGTGACAGCACCTTTAAGGTTTTAAATAACAAATATCTTTTAAATAAAACTAATGAACAATGTCTTGAGATGTGGCAACCATGAACACACCATTTTATTTTATTGAAAAAGTAATGCACATCTGACGTTGTAATTCAACAGCCCTGCATCAGTTATTCCTTACTTTTTTTACTTTTTTACTTATTTTTTTTTAACGAATGTTGACTTGAATCATGGCTTTTCAAAAACACATCAACTGTTCTATCCTGACAACTTTCGAAAAGCAGCATATTTTAATTCAATTGCTTTGAGGCTGCAATCCAGAAAATCGAGTTTAGCACCCACCTAAAAATATTGTCGTGAAAAAGGAGCAAACAAAGGAAAGAGCTATATATATAAAAAAAAAAATTTAAAAAAAATGAGAAAACATGTTGTGGCCTTTATCATGTTTGCTTACCAACACATGGGGAATACAGTCTGCTGGCCCTGAACCTGGTGAGGTTTTAAAAGACCGGTGATGAGGTAATGCTCAATCTGAGGAAAAATCATAATGATGTATAGCTGTTACTGATGATTCAGTTTCAAAGGTGATAAAACTTAACAGTGCATTTATTTTAAAAACCTTGCAGATGCCTTTGACCAAGCTATATCTTGGTGCAAGCCATTTTATTGAGTTTGTGGGTCGAACAGCTCGAAGGTATAAGCTTTTCCAGAATGTTCTCTACCTCTATGGGCTGATGTAACAGCCAAATCACTTTATTTTTATAAAGATGAAGTGCTTTTGCAATACCCACATAACCGAGGGAATTGGTTCTGAGTCAGATCCTCTCATAGTTCAGGATGAGTCTGTTTTAGAAGAGCAGAACTGCTGATCAGCAGTTGTTGATTACACTCACATCCAGGTTCTTATTCAGTCTCATCAAGAGCTTGACTGTGAACTGACTTGGACTGTAGACAAGAGCAACTGTGCATGATTAGCATGCTCATTATTACAAGCAAAAATCATATCCAATTAGGGTGGAAATTAGTGCTCCATTAATTTGAACTTTATTCCACTGATTGTCATCATTGATTGCTCTATTGTTTCAGTAGTATTGCGAAGTTTACTGTACTTATTTCATTACAATGCGTGAAAAATAATT